CTGGAAACACAGGAAAATATTTTGTCCTCAGGCAAAGAGTAATTGTAAAAATGGGAAAATGTAGGCTTTAGGAAGGACGAACATTAATTAAGAATATTAATCCAGAGAGTGGCAAGGGAACCAGGGATGCGGAGGAGGACGGCTTGCAGGCAGAGAAGCTTGGCAGCACATTTGCCCAGAGCGTGGCAAGGGAAACTAGGGATGCGAGAGTGGCAAGGGGAACCAGAGATGCGGAGGAGAACGGCTTGCAGCAGAGAGCTTTCAGCACATTTGTCCATCTTGGTTTTGTTACTGTAACAAAATGACTGTTGTTAGATTTTAGAGGGCTAAGAACATGGTCCCAGCAAGTGACCAGTTATATCAAAGACCTTTTGAGCTACATGGCATCATGGGAGCTGGAATCAAGAGGGATGCAGAGAGAAAGAGACCAGAGAGAAAGGCAGGAAGCAAGAAAGAATGGGAGGGGTCAGTATTGACCAATATTTTAAAATTTTTATGCATGTACGTGTGTATATGTACATGTGTGTGTGCATGTGTGGGTATGTGTGTATGCACGCACATGTGTGTGGAGACCAGAGTAAAAGCTCAGGTGTCATCCTCAGGAATACTGCCTACCACGGTTGTAACAGGGGCTCTCACTGACCCTTAGCTCACTAACTAGGCAGCACTGGCTGACCAGAAAGTCCCAGGGATCCCTGTCTTGACCTCCTTCTTCTCTGCTGGAATTACAAACATGAACCGCTATGTCTAGCTTTTTAATGTGGATTCTGGGGATTGAACTCAAGTCTTCATGCTTAACTTCAATGCTTTAGCACTTAACTTCCGCGGGAAGACGTTTTATTCTTTTGTAATAACTCATTTTACTGGGAGTAATGAGTCCCACGAGAATTAGTTAATCCTTCTGAATCCCCAATGATCCTCCAATCGCTTCCCACTGAGTCTTTACAATGAGAGGGTTGGAATACAGGACCTCCATAACTCTAGGCAAGGACTTAGCCAGGTTCACCAGCTCAATGTGGGCACACCGAGGGTCCTGCTTCCAACACTTGCCCACTACTGGGACCAGACCACACCTCAGTTAGAGCGACATCTGACAGGAAACCTGTGCTGATAAAGTTGGGCAGAGCAAGGACTTTTGGGTGGATGTCTCCCCTGTGTAGCACACTTACCAACACCTAACACAAGGCCCAACGTCCACACTGGTTATATGACAAACGCAACAGGAGGGAGATGCTATGAGAAACGCTTCATGCGACTGATAAAGAACAAAGAGATTCAAAGCAAATGGAGCAGTTGTTTGAATTAGGCACCATGAACTCCAAGGAGATAAAAGACATGAAAAAGCAGGTAACAATCAGAGCCATTTATTTATATTTTATGGAACACTTCTCAGTAAAAGATATGTCACTTAAGTTCTAATTCTCTTACACACATTAGCTCATTCAATATTTACCATTTCCCTGTGATTGATATCTCCATTATATAGGAAGGAAAATAGAGAGAGGAGATTTGCAATCATACCAACCTAGGATTCAAACAGGCTGTTGAGTTCTGAACCACCCACTCTAGGAAAAGAAATTCAAGACAAGCTGCTGCTTGGCTCAGCACTAAACAATAACCACACAGTCAAAGTGATGAAACCAGGAAACGCCGGCTGACCTCAGAGTGTTGCACAAACATAAAGTTGAGAGGAAGGAGGATCAGAGTTCAAGTTGACATAAGAACAAATAAGAACTAATCTGGGGGGAGGGCTGGAGAGCTGGCTCCATGCTTAAGAGCACAGGCTGTTTTTCCAAAGGACCTGAGTTCAGTTCCTAGGGATCCACAAGGCAGTTTACACCAGTGTGTAGCTTCAGCTCTGGGTGATTTGATGCCCTCTTCTGGCCTCCTGCACACACATGATGCACAAACATGCATGCAGACAAAATACTCATACATACAAAATATAAATAAATCCTTTCTTTTAACAAAAAGAACTTAACCCGAAGTAACAGGAAATCAATAAATACCTAAACACAGTGCATGCTTATGTGTATGCATGGTGTTTGTTTACATATGCAGTTACATGCTTAACTTCCTTTTCTTGCACATGATATATATGTGTGTGTATGTACATGTACAGAGGTAAATGGAGAAAATGTACATATTCACAAATCATTAACATATGGAATTAAATAGCAGGAACAAAAAAAATGATAGCTTATAGCAAACATTTCGCAGCAGTTCATGTTCAGCTTACAGCTGTGTTAGTGAAGCTGGGGATGGCTCAGCAGTTAAGGCACTGCAGCCAAGCCCGCTGACCTGAGTTCAACCCCAAGGGCTCAATTCACTTGGTGGAGGGAGAGAATTGACACCCACCAGTTGTCCTCTTGCATCCACATATACAGTGGTATTCTCTCTCTCTCTCTCTCTCTCTCTCTCTCTCTCTCTCTCTCTCTCTTTTTCTCTCTCTCCTCTCTCTCCTCTTTCTCCATAAACAAACAAACAAATACAAAATATTTTAAACAAACCAGTTTATGTATCGCACACACCTTTTTATTGCTATATCTATCATAAATCTGTATCTATATACAACTGATGCTGAAAAAAATTCAAAAAAGATAGCTATAACATAAAGATAATTGTCTTACATTTCAATTGTTATATAAAGAATATGCAGACTAGTGCATGTTCGATTTAAAATCCTACGTGTTTGTGCTTATCACAGATAATAAGACAAAAACTGTGTCAGTCACAGTGATCAGCCCAGAAAGGAAGCTGACACAGAATTCCTTTCAGAAGACTAAGTTTATTGGGAGAAAGGCCCAGTCACAGTCTTGAGGTGGGAGGGAGAGCACTCGGCAGAAACGGTGACACACAGAGATCTAAACACGGCAGGAGCTTCCCTTCAGAGCAGTGGTTCTCAACCTGTGGGCCGTGACCCATTGGGGGTCTAATGATGTTGAAGGAGCGGCAGGGCTGCGTCCCCAGCACCCGGCCGCCCACATGGCTAGCTTATGCCCAGAAATAATTACACGGAAACTGTATTCTTTTAAACACTGCCTGGCTCATAATCTGTAGCCTCTTACTGGCTAGCTCTTACATATTAATCTAACCCATTTCTATTAATCTGTGTAGCCCACGAGGTGGCTTACCAGAGAAGCCACCTGTCTGGAATGGGAGAATCATGGCGACTCACTGACTCAGCTTCTTTCTCCCAGCATTCTCTTCTGTTTTCTCCGCCTACCTAAGGGTTGGCCTATCAAATGGGCCTAGGCAGTTTCTTTGTTAATAAGAAATCACTCCCACATCATAATGACCCTTTGGTGGAGTTGTATCAGAAAACACAGATATTTACGTTATGACTCACAACAGTAGCAAAGTTACAGTTATGACCTGGCAACAAAAATAATTTTATGGTTGGGGTCATCACAACATGCATATTAAAGTGTATTAAAGTGGCTCAACATGAGGAAGGTTGAGAACCACTGCTCTAGAACCTGTCCAGGAGCTTTACTGAGGTGAGAATAAGAGGGAGGGAGAGACAGCCAGCCAGCCAGTCAGAGAGACAGACAGACAGACAGACACCCTAGCCAAGGTGGCAGGGGCAGAGGAGCCTCTTCAGAGAACAGTCTCCATAGAACCTTCCCCCACACAAGGAAATACAAAGAACAAAGGAAATATCAGACTCATAAGTTCTCAGGTGGCTGGTGGGGAATTTCACAACACGTGATTTAGTTCAACATAGCATGTATGACGAAGCATGGAGTTGCCATGTGCTAGTTAGGACTATAAATTAAGGGGTACTGTTATGTCACAGCATGGAGATAGCCTCAGCCCTGTGTCCCTGAGAGGGCTCGGGGTGCATGTCCCAATTAAAGCTCTGGGATCTAGGCTACGGGTGCAGGCCCGTCTTCCAACAGTGTGCTTGTGTTAGAAAAGGCTTCACTTTCTGACCACGTCTGCGATATTCTTCCACTCGGTCCTTTCTTGTAGTCCGTCAGGAACACATGGCACATTTCATGTGGTATTTGTCCTGGTTGGGAGCAACATTTTCGTTAACAGATTCTTGCTGTGCAGCCCAGGCTTGCCTCAAACTCATAATCCTCCTGCCTCAGCTACTTAAGTGCTGAGATTACAAAACCTGGATGAGGAAAGACATTTAGATAGTAAGTTTGCCCCAGCTGCACGACTCTCTGCCCTCGAAACTCAACACGCTGTCAGGAAGCAGTCAGCAGTGGACTGTAGAAATGTAACTCAGGGCTGGCGCTGGTGACATAGGAATGTGACGGGAAGTGGAGAAGAGGGTAGTCACACCAGAGACAGCTGTCAGAGAACAGCCAGCATAAGAGAGAAAACCAGGGCTCACACTTCAGACGTGGGTCTCTGAGCGAGAGAGAAGGTGTTTTCTCAGGAGTCAGTTTTAAACTTTCCTACCATGCGCCACAATCGTTACCTAGGAGAGAAATAGACAGAAGGGGCTGTCCTCAGCGAGCGAATCTATCCTTTCCCACAGAAGGGCAGAGAACATTGGTATTGAGAAACCTGACAAATATTAAACAATTTCCCGTCATGTACCAACCACTGCCAAATATTTGGATTAAAATGTTTAAAGTAGCAAAGGAGCTATTCATGAAAATCCCTATTTGAAAAACACTCATTTAGACAAAAGGAACAGAATGTGTAAGAGCACAGTGTGACCAGTCTTTGGAAAGACCATGGAAGTTTAGTGCTGTGTAGACAAAAACCAGCGGGTGGGGCGAAAACATGAAGTCGCAGCAGGGACTCTGGTTTTTATTGTAAGATGTAGGAAGAGGGGTGCCCTGGCTAGATGAGGTTTCACCACTCCGTGTTGGCTGCTGTGCTAGGCAGAGTGTGTCGAGAGGCTCACCTGTGTCAAGATGACCAATGAAGCTAACATAGACAGATCAGTTCTCTCCTTCTACTGGGTGAGCCCCGAATCCTGGGCTCAGGTCATCAGGATTGGCAACAAGCCCCTTCCACCTGATGAGCCGTCTTACCTGCTCACGGTTTTGAAGGGTGCCTCTTATTTCTTTCCCTCTCACTGTTTCCTGGCAGCCATGAGGCAGGTGGCTTTCTTTCCTCTTCAGTCCTGATGTCCATCCTCAGCATAGGCTGACCAGCAATGAGCCAGGCAGCCATGAACTGAAACCTCTTAGACTCTGAACCAGCAGTTTGCCCCTATGACCTGCTGTTCTCAGGCATGTTGTCTCGGGGACAGAGAGCTGAATGCCATGATCAGTTGTAGACAGAGACTGCTCATTCATTTTCCGGCTGCTCAGACCCAAATAATCACACAAAAGCTATATAATTACAATACTGTTTGGCCAAAAGCTTAGGCGTCTTTCTAGCTAGCTCTTACATCTTAAGTTAACCCATTTCTATTAATCTGTGTATGGCCACGAGGCTGTGACTTACCCATGCCGGCAAGTCAGCAACATGGCGACTCTCTGACTCCGCCTACTCTCTCTATATATCTCTTCCAGTCTGGCTATATCTGGCTTGCTGTAAGCCGAAGCAGCTTCTTTCTTAACTAATGTAACAAATAAATAGCATACAGAGGGGACTCCCACATCAATCAGTATTTGTTAATTTTCTTTTATGCAGGTTGAAATTGCTTTTGTAAATTAACAGGTAGACCTTTAACATACGAAAGAGGGAAAGTTGACCATTCCTGCATTAGAGATTTGGAAACTGGAAACTCTGGCATGCCCAAACAGCAGGAGAAGCAAAGAACTTTCTGAAGGCCACGCTCTTCAAGTGTCCTGCAAGGCTGCCTGTGGTCAAGTCACCTGGAGATGTTTGAGCTCGATTCCCAGGTCTGACAATTGCGGCATGAGGCTGAAATGCCCCTTACAGGCGTTCCAGATGCTCTATCCTGCTGATCTTATTTAGTGAGACTGGAACACCTCAGAAATGGTGTCTGGTTAAGGGAAGCAGGTCACTAGGTTGGGCCATCAAAGTTTCACGAGACCCTTATTTCTGTGACATTCTCTATTTTCTGAGCCGAGTAGCCTCTACCACATGTTCCTACTGCCATGATCTGAGCTTCCCTGCCACACCTTCTCACCATGAGGGACTAAAGTCCCCTAAAACCATAAACCCAAACCAGTAATTCCTCTCTTAAGCTGTTTCTAGCAGGTCTTATGTCTACAGCAATGTTAAGTAACTAATATACTATGGTGCTGGTCATCAACTTGACAGAATTTAGAACTTCCTGGGGGAAAAGCCTCTGGGTATGTGGGTGAGGAAGTGTCTAGATTTGGTTCACTGAAGTGGGAAGACCCATGATAAGTGTGGGCAGCAGCATTCCATAGGCTGGGGGTCTGGGGAGAAAGAAGAAGGAAAAGCAAGAGTCAGATTCACTTTCCTGCTTCTTGCCTACAGCTTCAGTGTGACCAGCTGCCTGCAGCCACGGTGTGACCAGCTGCCCACAACCATGGTGTGACCAGCTGCCTGCAGCCACCGTGTGACCAGCTGCCCGCAACCATGGTGTGACCAGCTGCCTGTAGCCGCAGTGTGACCAGCTGCCTCAACTCCTGCCATCTTGATTTCCTCCCATGATGAACTGCTCTCTCATACCATGAACCAGATAAACCCACCCTTCCTTCCTTCTTCCTTCCTTCGTTCCTTCGCCCCTCCCTCCCTCCCTCCCTCCCTCCCTCCCTCCCTCCCTCCCTCCCTCCCTCCCTCCCTCCCTTCCTTACTTCCTTTTGACAGCAATTGTGTCACACAGGGAGAAAGGGAGTTAACACACCACCACCCTTCTACTTACTGATCTGATTCTCTAATGGGAAGGCAGGTTTCTACACCTTAATGAGCTCCCTGGGCTCTTCTCTGGCGTGGTGAATTATGGAAACCCCCTCCCAAGAGCCTTTCGTCCTGGTTTCTAAGCAGCCACCAAGGCTTCAGAATGAGACCAGGAAATCAGGGCAGAGGTTAACCTTATCTCACCCTTTGATCAGATAAAAGAGCTGGATAAATAGGATAAAAGCATGCGAGGGAGGAGGAACCACTCACAGGAAGATGAGAAAATCACATTTGCAATGAGGACATGTTCAAAGAGCTTGCTAAGACAGGAGGCAACCCGACTGCACAATGGTAAGGGCTCCTGAGAGGCAGGGCACAACCGATTTTGAATATACCTCAGGCTGGGGACCTGGCAAGCCACTGTCATTGGTTTCTTTAACACGCAATTTCTTTAATGCTTCTCTGCATAAAAAAATTCAAGCTAAAACATTACCTAGAATGCAAAGGGTTGTGTAGAATACTACACATATGTGTATGAGTTTTATGGAGTCCAACAGCCATTATATCTTCTATGAATCATACTACATAGACCATGGCAAGGGAGCTTGGCATGCCACCAATCAGTCTAGCAAAGTTGTAGAACCTAAGAGGGGAGGCTTTAAGGATGATTGACAGAACATATAACCCCAAACATATCCATGTTAACCCTCAAATGATGGTAGCAGATTGTTAGAATTTACTCTCTCGGAAAGACATTAACAACATCTACCCTCTCCTTCTAAAGTCCCAGTGGCAAATCAAAGTTCAATTTCACCAAAGTTCCCTCCAGGGAACCAATGAATTTATCAGGTTCACCTAAAGAGCATGCGAGTGTGTGTGACCTCAAAGCGGTTATACTGGAGAGCCTTCAGCCAGTATGAGCAACAGGTTCCCTTCACCACGTAGGCAGAGTCCCTTCGGTTTCCCCGAGACCCTGAGATCATGAGCAATTAGAGCAGAATTGCATCCAACTGACTAGAGGAAAGGGTAAATACTCAAGTGTGGCTTTTTGGACACTTGTCACCTCCTCCATTTGTGAGAGAATTACCATGCTCCACAGGCCCAGGTGTGGGGCACCCTGCCACGAGTCAACACAGCTGTCCCCGTGAAGATGGCAGCTGTTTTGCTGGGCAGACACTGCTGTACAACATGGCTTTCCGGAAGGCAGTCTGGAAATGTGCAGCAAATCAAGCTCTCAAATCCTGACTTAGTTTTATTCCTGGAGGTTTAAACCGCGGACAGTGTTGTGTGCACAAAGCATGAGGGAAGCATGTACCACGTGTCCACGAGTGTCTAGTACTGGCTTATTAATACTAGTTAAGTCAGTGTTTGTATCGGTCGGGGTTCTCTAGAGGAACAGAACTGATAGGATGACCGTGGACTGGAAAGGGAGAGTCAGTGGACTGGCTTCCAAGAGAGGGCTGGCTAGCTCAACAGCGACCGTCTGCTCCCTGAGAGCCTGGTGGCTAGACGCCTCAGCAGTTCCAGGAAGAGGCAAAGCTAGGGCTGGTGAGATGGCTCAGAGGGTAGGAGCACTTGTTACACAAGCCTGCTAACTTAAACCGAATACCTGGGGCCTACCTGAAAAACAATCCAGGGCTGGTGTGATGGCTCAGTGGGTAGAGTCAACAGCTACAAAACCTGATGACCTATACACACACACACACACACACACACACACACACACACACACACTTTAAAAGATTTTTTAAGGAAATGTAGAGTCAGACAAGCAGGATTACCTTTTTCTCAGATCTCTCTTGTTTCTGGGTCACCTGGAGGTGTGGCCCCCTCTAAGCAAGGGTCTTCTACCCTCAGATTATCCTTTCTGGGGAGACCCACGCAGATTCACACACAGTTGTGCATGTCTCTTAGTTGACTCCCAGTCCCAACAGTGACAATCAACCATCAGCTGACAATCAGCCATTGCTGTCGCTGTATGCTTATCAAAACAAATACGTTTCCCGATGAAAAGACAAAATATTCATGGAACTTCTTAACACAGACTAGCAACATCCAAGAGCCTGACATACTGGAAGATAGGTTTCCTTTTCCAATGAGATAGGAAACAGAACTCCCAGGCTGCAGAAGCTCATACCATCCAGGGCGTAGACAGAACCAGTAGGAATTGGTTGGAGATAGGACATTTTGCTTTCCTGCAGCACAGAGGGTGACCGAGTGGGGAAGGGGGTGAGAAAGGGGCAAGACAGGTGTTGTGATGGATTGGCACCACACGCCTTCCTCCATTCCCCAGAGTCAGGCAAACCTAAGTGGAAGCCAGACTCCACTGGGGTGCAGGAAGATGTGGAGACCCATGCAGATTTGACTGAGTTTGTCTGCAAGTGGATGGAGCAGATGGGAATAGCTAGAAAAGGAGTGGCTGAATGACAGTGCTTAACTCTGGGTGAGAAGGGATGGAACCAGGAGGCAGGTAGAGGTCTCAAAGGATCAACATCATTTCCCATCTCAAGTTAGGTGACACCTACTTGCTATGTTATTTTTCATTCCTCTGTCTAGATGGTTGCACCATTCATTTTAAAAGGCATATGTTAAAAAAAATAAAAAATAAATAAATAAATAAATAAAAGGCATATGTTACCCTGCTGTGCTAGACAGATAAGCTGTGTGGACCATGGTACACTGGCCTCAAGTGACATATGTGAGAACCATGAAGAGGCTAGTATTTTATGCTTTTTTTTCATATGAAATAAAAACAGAAGTTTAAATGTTAACTAAACTGAAATCCTGCAGTAACAGGGAGATAAGTAATGTTGGGCCATCTGTAAACACTGGCCGGAAGCTGGCAACGGACTGTTTTCTGTCAAGAGGCTGCAGAGACAGTGGTCTCTACTGTCACCCAGGAACCCAGTTCTAAGGTAGGTGATGGTATAAAGTCTCAGAATTATTTGCCCCAGAGCCCTGTGCACTATATCCTGCCATTTTGCAGGTTCTCTCTCTCTCTCTCTCTCTCTCTCTCTCTCTCTCTCTCTCTCTCTCTCTCTCTCTCTCTCTCTCTCTCTCTGTGTGTGTGTGTGTTTGTTGAGAGAGCTAGAGAGAGTCTATTTAAGCTCATAGCATCTACAGTAAGCAAACAGATAAATGACCAATGTCCAAGTGCCACCTTTCATTTTTGATATGGACAATTGATGCTTTTAGAATTTCCAAGCTTCATGCTGCTTTAATCCCCCCCCACACACCCAAGGACAATCAAGTGGGAGAAACACAGTAGTAAACTGGGCACCCAGTCTCCTTGCTCTGCCTGACAGAGTAAAAGGAACCCTATGCTGAAGGGGGTGCCCTTCCCCAACAAGGGTACGACTACAGCTTCTCAGGTGGATCCCACTCACGGACACTGCCAAGCATCGGGTGCAGAGAGCTGTGGGCGGGGTAAGTCGGCTAACAGCAAGAGTGTTGGAGGCCGCAGCAGGCAGACCTAGCCACAGCCACCTGGGTCACCTGCTGATTAGCATAATGAGTTTCACTTAATAACTGTGTGGAAGGAAATAAAATAGCACCTCTACACACAGGGACCTTTGCTAAACTGATTTCGGGGCAGAGATGAATGTCTTTCATACCTCCTTGTATTAACTCCATGAATGAATGAACGGAGAGGAACTTAAATGGCGTGCCTGAATGGAGCCACAGTTAGGATAAAAGGTGATTTATGCATCATTTTTTTACAAATCAATGAAGACAAAATGCACCGTTTGTGCTCAGGCATGAGCACACAGCTTTCAATTTCTCCATGACGGAAGGACGATTGTTTCCAAGGGCCCATTTAATATAGGTCTGACATCATTTAGTGTAATATAATAAACTGAATTGAAATTTCATTTATGAAAATTAATGGGGTCGTGACCTCACCATAATACCTTACAGCCAAGATGCAAGTTTGTTGAGGAAAAGCAAGATTCTCTCAGTGGGATTTACTGATAGGATCTCTCTGAATGTGCCTTCAAAAAGATCAGAGTTTGGGGACTGGAGAGTGCTTGTCCTCCAAGCAGGAGGACCTGAATGTGGCCCCCGGAACCTACATTTTTAGAAAAGTGATGGGAAGGTCTAGCTGAGAGGGCTCTGGAACTTTTCAGCCAGCTAGCCTACCCTACTTGGAGAAATCCAGGCCAGTGAGAGACACTGACTCAGAAGTAGATGCAGCCTGAGGAAGGCCACCTCACGTGATCTCCTGGCCACTCCCTCTCCTCTCATATGCACGTACACACATTTAAAGAAAGAAAAACAAATTATTGATTATTCATACTAGATTCTTTCTAGAAGAATCAAATTTTATGAAGTTATTCCAAAATAAGGCTGTTTCCCCAGCGTGGTGTTGGTCCAAACTAAATTCCTTTCACCATCAGAATTTGGTTGTAATTAAGTCTTACCCCAAAGCCGAGATAAACTGGATAGAAAGGGAGCATGATGCCTATGTTTAGGGCATCTTGGATGAAGGGACAGTCCTAGGGGTATCCATGCCATCTGTGAAAGTTCCATCAGGCCCAAACCGGCATATGCTACGTGGGAGAAGGGCCAAGAGGAATGAATTACATTAAAAGCAGATGGGCTGAGCCATAGATGGGGTGGCTGGGGGACTCCATGACCATGCTGGACAACTGTGGAGATAAATCCGTAAATGCTGGGCACAGGGAAGCTGTTCCTTTTATGTGTGGCCTGGAGCATCTTACTGGCACAGGAGCTGATCTGAAAGGGGGCTTACGTAGCAAGAGTCAGTGAAAGTCCACACTTCTGGTAGACAGAGGGCAATCCATAATGCTGGCATCGCTCCGACTTCTCCTGGTGTGCCTTCCCCTCTATTCTAGAGACAAGAAAGCTGGAAACTATGCATCCCAGACTTTCTCACACTAAGATGATCAGGCACATTTGTGCAAAGCTGAAATTTAGAGCCACACGGATATGTTTGAGTGCCCTTTGGGTTCCTTCCTGTAGGTAGTGGAGTTTGGCTGTACAAGGAACAAATGAGACTTTTTCTTGTTATTTCCTTGGCTTGTTGCTAAATGATAAAAATTTCTTTTGTAAACCCTTGCTATTGACATGATTTTTTTTTTTAGGAAATTCTGAGGCCTGTGGCACATTTCCTACTAATAACTGATCAATTTCATCATTGCCTTGTGCTAGAGGGCCTTGCCAATCCATGTGGAATCTGATATGTGTTATATATATGGGATGATTCTTATTCATATTTCCGGCAATTGTATAAATAATTAAGTTCATCTTGACTTATCAGGAGTAAGTTCAGCATTTTCAATATGTAAGACAACCTTCTGCATATTGAGGGTCAGTAATGATACTAATAATACCATGAAAATAGCATATAATTCTGATTTATGAATTAAATTATATGGGCTTTGAGCCACTTTACTTATTTTTCCTGACTTATAACCTGCCTTTCCCGATTTGTTTACATCAATATAGGATATTGGGGGTCTAGAAATTGGGGTACCTTTTATTATATGAGGTAAATCCAATTAGTTTTATTTTTTATAAACTGAAATTTCTTGCTTTTGGGGTAATTGTTACTTAACTCTCCCCCAAAAATTATTGCAACCTCTTTGCCAATCTATATTTTCTGCACACAATGCAGTAATTTCAGCATTAGTAAAAGGCACTATAATTTCTGCTGGGTCCATTCCTGTCAATTGACGAAGTCTTAATTTTCATTTTAGAATCAACTCAAAAATGTTTTATTCATATGTCTTTACTTTTTTTACTCTGTTTATATGGTTAAAAAATCCACTCTAAAATAATATCTTTCCTCTGAATTAAAATTCTTGTAGGAAAATATGTGTAGAGGGTGAAATAACCAGAATACAATCAAGTTCTGGATGCAAACGGTCCACATGTTTATCCTGTAACTTCTTTTTCACCAAAGACAATTCTCTCTCTGCTTCAGCCTGGGCTATTATTCCCTTGTCACCTTCCAAGATTTGAAACAAATTGCTCAGTTCTTGATTTGTCACTCCAATAGTGGGCTGTGATGAGTGGTGTCCCCCAACAATCTTTGAAAGTCATTAAGAGCCCACAATTACTCTCTCCCAATTCATACCTTTTGGAGTTGGTTTTTTTGTGAGCCTCATTTAAATCCTAAGTATTTTTTTTACTTATTAGTTTAAAAAAAAATTACCAATCCAAGTTCCTACTCCCTCCTCTCCCCCATTCCCTCCACACACCCTCCGCTAAGTGATTAATAGAGTCTTCTCTTTGTATTTTTTTCAGAAGTAATTTATAATCCCCAGCAAGGAAAAGTTTTCTTTACTTCTTCAAACATTTTCTCTAAATTATATACATTTGAATCAGTAGTAAAATATCATCCATATAATGGTAAATTATAGATTGAGAAAATTGTATATGAATTATTTTCAACAGTTGTCTAACAAAATATTGGCACAGGGTGGGGCTGTTTAACATCCCTTGTGAGAAAATATTTCATTGATATTTTTTAATGGGCTAAGAATTATTATAAGTAGGCATCATGAGGGCAAATTTTTCTTGTAAAGGTGTAGTGAAAGAACAATCTTTTAAATCAATCACTGTAAGAGGTCATCCTTTAGGTATTAGAAAAGGCAAAGGAATTCCACACTGTAGAGAGCCAATTGGCTGAATCACCTTATCAATAGCTCATAGATCTGTTACCATTCTCCATTTTCCCAAATTCTTTTTAACAACAAATACAGGAGAATTCCAAGGGCTGGTTGATTCTTCAATATATTGAGGATTTAACTAACCCCTCCTGTACCAGCTGTTCTAAGGCCTGTAATTTTTCTGATGTCAAAGACAATTGTTCCACCCAAACAGGTTTGTCAATCATATATTTGAAGTACCAACATTACTTCAAAGGTACTAACAGCTGTGGTGGCCTGCTTGTGTACAGTTTGAATGGAATGTGACTGTCCTTGATAGTATCTTTTGATATTTCTCTCAGAAGCATTCCTTTTTTTACAGTTTGTTTTTGAGATTGGGGGGATGTTAATCTGACTATTCCATTGCTGTAGTAAATCATATCCCCATAAATTCTCTGCTGTATCAGCCACATACGGCTTTATTTTTCCTCTCTGTCTTTCTGGTCCTGTACATTCAACCTATCTTACACTTTGTTTTACTTGAGATAAATTGCCAATTCCTAAAAGCTGAACATTTACTTCCTGAAGAGGCCAACCCAGGTGCCAAAATTTTGGTGCAATTATGGTTACATCTGCACCTATGTATACCAAACCCTCAATTTCTATGCCGTTTATTTGAATTTTTAACTTTGGTCTTCGATCATTTATGGACATTTGCCAAGATATTTGCTTTATAGTTTCTCCTGAGATTTTTCTTTTATTTTCTAAAGCAGTTCTGGCATCCCGAGCTGTATGGTTTTTAAAAATGGGTGTGACATCATTTAATTGTTGTGGAGGATTTTCCCCAATGCTGGCAGGGAATGATCAAACTACATTTGATATTGGGGTCTGCAGGGTGCTTCCTGATGGCAAAAGGTTACCCTGCCTATCCATTTTTGATCAACATACATTAGTCCATGCTGACCTTTGCCACTCCTTCTGCATACTCCAGAAAGCTGGGCCTTCTGCTTGAATTATTTCTAGAATAAACATAGTTTCTAGTAGCATCTTGCCTACACTCCCTTTTCAGATGATCGTTTCTACTACAATTAAAACACCTAACATTTATTTTCATATTTTTAGAGAGCAGTTCTCCTATCCAAGTATCATAATTAGAAGTATAGGAGCCAATATTGACTCTATTTCAGCACATTCTTCTGTGGAAGCTGATTTTGCCCTTAAAGGCCTGATCACCCTTTTACATTCTGCATTAACATTTTCAAATGCCAAAGTTTCAATTAATATTTGTGTAGCATCTGGATCAGATAGCATTCTATTTACAACTGATGTTAATCTATGTAAAAAAAATCAGTGAAATCTTCTTTCAGGCTTTGTGTAAGTTTTGTAAAGAATTCAGTTCTCTTTGCTGATTCTTCAACCCTGTCCCAAGCATTCAAAGCTGCTATATGATGTAGAATCAGGGTGTTATCATTCAACATACACTGTCTTTGTGAATTAGCATACTGACCCTAACCAATAATTTGGTTTTAGGAAGTCTCAAGGCCTCTTGCCCTGCCTCATTGTTCTAGGATTCTAGTTTCCTCTCTCCACCAGGTTCTCCATTCTAACTGAAGACCAGATTTCAATACAGCTGTAACTAAGTCCTTCCAATCTTATGGAATACTTCTGTTCCTAGTTAACCATGAATTTAACATCTGTCTTACAGAGGGTGAATTCATACCATATGAAACGACTTCTTTTTTTTTAATCTATTTAAGTTTAGCATATCTACATGATTCCAGTCTGTGTGGCCTTGGGGATGCTTATCATCTGGTGGTGGTTGTTTAATAGTAACTGGATGTATTAAAGTTGGTGTTCTAATAACCTTAGGCCATTTCTCTCCAGTTTCACAATGCTATAGTGTGGTAAATTCTGCTCTAAATTCCTCTGTCTGTGTCTGAGAATTTTTCTTTTTTTTTTATTAGTATATTTTTCCAAGGCTTGCATCCTATAAATCCACTTGTCATATTTAGCTCAAGAAAACCCACAAAAGCTATTATTGATAAGATATAATTATCATACTGACAGATTATTATCAGTACTGTATCAGTGTCAGTTAAATCTTCTATCATCCCATCTTCTGCTTCTATAGAGAGCCCTATCACTCTGATTATTATGTTTCCCGTTCTTAGCATAGAAAAATTATATGAGTTCATGAAGTTTTTCTTTTCTAAATAAAATAAAAGTCTAAACAATAAGAAGAAAAACTAGAAGTAATTTGATATGATTGTTACTACAGCCTAGATCTCCAAAAGTGAACTCACCCACTCCCGTCAACTCATATGCCAGGCGCTGTGTGAATGTCAGGAACCCAGGGCATATTTTAGAGCCAGCATTTGGGTGGAAGATGTGTGACTGTGGTTTACACATCAGAGAACAGCCCAGGAGTGCAAGTCTCACCTGCCTTGCCCCTGGATGGCAGAGTAGCAGTGCTGTAGGTAGCTGGGCAGGTGCACTGCACCTCAGCTCTTCTCAGCAAAAGGAATGCACTGTGAAGTTCAGGACTCTCGCTTACAAAGTGGGAGGTGGGGATGAACACACTGTATGGTCTTAAATCAGATATCAGTGGCAGCTGTTAAAGACAACTGTCTAGTTTTCTTAGACAGGTCCCAATGTCATACTTCCTCTTATGAAGTGGCAATGAAAGAACGCCAATGGTTTGGGATTGGAGTAAAAGAAAACTACATTGAGGATGGATTTCCATGAGGTATTGTATTTGTCACTTGTCTTGTTGCTGTGACAAGACGTCCAATGAAAACAATTTAAGGAAGAAAGAGCTTATTTTGGCTTGAAGTTCAAAAGTACAGCCCATCACTTCTGGAAGTGGGAGCCTGAGGTGACTGGTCACACTGGAGCTGTGGTCAGTGAGCAGGCAGCAGAGGTTACTGGAGCTTGGATAGAGTTCCCTTTCCATGCAGCCTGGGACTAAATCATTCCCACTTTCAAGGTGGTTCTTCCTACTTCTCTGAGTCCAGTCTAGAAACTTCCTTATGGACATGTTCAGAGGTTTGATTCCCTGGTGCTTTTGATATCACCCTTTTGACAATATTAACCATCGCAGGCATGGTAGGACATGTTTCCATAGCTTGCAGACTCTTATTTGGATAGTCATCCTGGTGAAGGGTTAACTTTTAAACCTGCCCCCTTAAATAAAGCGTGAAAGGTCAAATTTAACATGGACATGACCTGTGATGCATAGAGCTACTGGAAGTCTATCAGTGTGGGAAGAAACAACTTGGAAATAGATGGCACCAGAAACTAATGTGTGGGAAATTATTTCCATAACAGATGTCTCACATTGTACCCAGAAAAATCGGATCTTTGCTGTATCAGAAACACTGGATGGTCCTCCTGTTGAAAAACATTAATTTGGATGTGGAATGCACCTCCCCTCAAAGGCTCATGCTTTAAGGACTTGGTCTTTGGCTGGTGGTGTGATTGGGAGCGGTGGTGGTGGAAACTTCAGGAGGTAGGGTTCAATCGGAAGAAGCAGGTCAGTAGGAGTGTGTCCTTGAAAGATAGGGGTGGGGATCCAAGATGATGGTGGTGGTGATTCATCCTTCTCCTTCTCTTCCCCCTCCTCTTCTCCCTCCTCTCCTTCTCCTTCCTGAACACCATAAAATGAGAATCTATGCTCTACCAAACACCACCACTATGATATTTTTTCTAACCGGAGGAAACAAAGATGCTAAGTGACCATGAACTGAAGCTAGGAACTGTCATAACACTTTCCTTTTTGAAGTTTCTTATCCCAGGCATTTTGTTACAGCAATAGAAAACTAACTAACCCAGGAGCCTCCCTGTCTCCCTGTTTTTTTGTAATATGTAATAATACAAAGAAAAATTTATTGGCAAGGTATTCCTTTTATGAAGAGCATTCTAGAAAGTGTGTCTTTGTGTGAAATTCCACATTTTATCAACTCTGCTAAAGGAAAGACCGCATTCTCTCTCTATTCTATAGAAAAGATATTCTGAAATTGTTATCATATACAAGAAAGTTGAAGATCAAAGGAAAAACTATTGTTGAACAGAGATTGTCAATCAGCAAGTATTTTGCTAGATTTTTGATGTTTAGTTTTCTTAATGCATAATTTGTTGTAATTTCTTTTCTAGAAACTCATTCATTTTTGTATTTCTTCAATGCTGATCATAAAGTCAAAATTAACCCCTGGCTTACAGTGTAGTGTTTGTCAACCCCTCAAAGAGGCCACACATGTTGCGACAGATCTGTGTTCAGGGAAAGAAATGTGTGTGGTGCTTGTCACCAGAGACCCCACCCTGGACACAGACATATGATAGAGAAAGTCATGGACTAACATGGAGAGAGGACAGCTGGAAGAGCAGACTCCCTCCTCAGCAATGAATAATAACCAAGTCTTCCCATTCCCATTCTGCCCCCAAAGTACAAAAATAAATACAGGAATAAAACCTCTTGGGTTGCTTTAAATGAGAAAGTACAGGAGCAACTTCAGCCTGGCCAAGTTTTCACTGGTGGGAATGCAGTGGGTCTTTGTTTGCTTGTTTAAACTTTTCAAAACAACCATTTATTGTATACGTAAGATGGCCATATGTTCCTAAGACTTAAGATGTTTCTTCAGAAATTAACAAAGAGTAGAGTCAATTTCTCCCCTGAGTCCTTTCCAGTTTCTGTTTCAGAGGCAGAGAGAGAATACACACCAAAGAAAGGTTTGGGGAGATGAGAGAGGCTAACCAGGGAACTGAGGGTTATCTGTCCAGATAGGCGTGCCCTCATCAGATGCTCCCTTCCCACATGGAGCCTGGCCTGAAGGCAGTCAGGATTCTCTGTACTGGAAGTCCTGGCATTCCTCAGAGTGCTGATTAGGAAGTGGGGTGCAGCTGCTTTGTGGGGTATTCGTTCTTTTCTCCTACATAGTCCAAGGCCTGCTCCACCCTGGAACTAAAGAGTGCACAGTCTAGGAAGTTACCTACCCGACTTGCTGTCTTTCCTTCCTGTCTGTGTTTGACACATGACTTAGCTGTCTCCTATTTGCACCCCCTACCAACCCCAGGCTTCCTGGGTCACTTCTAACTCCTTCTGAAAGCATTGGCTTATTCATATTCATCTTTCCATCCCTGCTGGCAAACAGTCTTCCAAACAGAGTGTCCAGTCCACAGACAGAGGGCCAGAAGAGGAGAAGACACGCACAGATAATTTGTTTGTTCCTCAGAGAACTCAGCGTCTGCTACCTCCCAAAGGCGCCCTCGGAACTTACATTCTGTCTAGTGTGGTTGCTGAATTGTGAAATGGCAGACCACTTCACACATGAGCGTCTGCATGAGTAGGGATCCAGAGAACAACAGCCAGAAGAAAGGAAGCTAGAAACCACGGAGAGTTAGCTTTCAGGAGAGTATGTGGCATCCTCAGCAGCAATAATAACCTTTCCTGGGATTTCAAGATCATCATTCTTTGAGGATATGGCCCTCACCTGGAGAATTCCATATTCCAGCTCTTACAGAGAAGATATTTATTGGGGATGAATATTTATTGCTGAAGGGGCCTGTTAATCAAAAGACCATTTCCAAGCAATTTAGCAAGGTGCAGCATACATTATAGCAATTTGATGCTAATACATTTTATAACTGATGAGTGTTTAAGATATAAAAATGATTATAATTAGATAGGAAATAGTAAAACCTTAAATTGCACTGAGTAATAATGACAGAAGAAATGGTCCAAGAATCATATCTAAACAGTGCTCAGAGCTAAGGCATATGTGTTTGCCCTTTTAAATTTTGAAGGAACAGATGATTGCCATGTCATATATAAAATATCTGGGCACATACGCTGAGGTAGGAGTTACTTAGTTCATTATAGTAAGATAGAAAACCTTGGGACTGGACAGATGCCTCAGTGGTTAAGGGCCTTGGCTGCTCTTCCAGAGGACCCAAGTCTGATTCCTAGTACCCGAGTCAGGTGGCCCAAAATTCCCTGTAACTCTAGCTCCATCAGATTCAATGTCCTCTCCTGGATACTGTGGAAATCCATATGCACAGGCATAAAAAGCATGCCCCATACAAACAAACACATAAATAAAAAATGAAGCAAATGTTTTAAGATAAAAAAACTTGTATTAAAACTTGACAAATATAATGACTGCACAGGAAAAAAAGCACAAACCATATCCTCCCATTAGAATACATTTTAAAATCACAATAAGAGCATAGCCTGGTGGGAATACAGTATCCTTCACTAGACCATAGTGACATCTTCACAAACACTCACTGTCTGGGTTCCCAGCACCCCAGAACCACGAGTTACATAGCAAAGCACAGTAGAAGGTCAGGAGTTGTGAGATGCACCTCCAATCCCAGCACTTGAGAGGCACGGGTGAAAAGGTAGCAAGTTAGAGACCAGCCTGGTCTGCAAAGAAAATTACAGAGCAGCCAGCCTTACACACAAGACCCTGTCTCCCAAAACAGATGAAAAGAACACGGTGGCAACAGCTATCCACTCCTTTATAAATGGGACTAGACTCTACCCCATCTATACTCTAATCCTACTTAGTCATTTTTAGAAAGATGTCAGCTGTGAGAGGTTTAGCAAGATGTGAGAGGCACAGAAGAGGTGAGTCAGAGACACAAGGGGACAGATGAGCTCAGGTCCCCTCAGAATTCACCCGACAGGGTACAGACCCTGGTTCCAAGACCTGGGCAGATTGCAAGCCTACAGAATCTACTCGATGGTTTTTGTGACATGTCTATAAAATGAAGTCTTTTGGTTTGGGGATAGAATTTAACCTTTGACTTGGTGTAGTTTGTGCAGCTCTTTCCTGGGTGTGCTCACAATTCCAGATCCTGGTTGAGTCTGGCAGCTGCTTTGTATTTGTGAGTGTCCTGTGTATTTCTTTACATTTCCTTCTGGGTTCTTTTAGCACACAGTTTGAAAACAAAGAGAAGCTACTGTCCAAAAGCCACTTGAAAATGAAAGTTGAGGCCACTGGATTATGCTTTAATCCCCTTTCTCATCTGTCTATCTGTCTATCTCTCTATATGTCTATCTGACTATCCGTCTTGGGGAAGGATAGCCCTGCTATGGTGACATGCTCAGAACAGCCTAGAGAAGTCTGTTCTCTCCTTCCACCATGTGGTTCTGGGGACTGAAATCAGGTCTCTGGTTTGGCAGCAAGCACATTTACCTGTGAAGCCATTTCAACAGCCCCCCCCCCGGATGATTCTAACTTAACGAACCCCCCAATATTCATCAAAGCTTTTGCTTTCTTGGGCTCAGTGTTGTCACTCAGAGGCATGCTGGCGAGTCTGACAGTGTGGCTCTCCTCCTGATTGCTTGTCCTTCTCTGTTGATCAGGAGCTCAGCGCTTTGCACACCTTATTTCTGACTGCCCCCGGTCTGAGAGTTCACTATGCGGAATCGGTTTTCACTGCTGGCCTCCAGTATATGTTCCTGATGCTCCTAGGCACTTCCGGAGCTGATAACATGTCACCAGGAAAGAGCCACAAAGGATCCCTTTGTGTGAACCATGAAACAAATATGTGTCTCACCTATGAAAGGGGACAAATGTCAAGGTTTCCCTTTATTTCCTGGAAAGATCAGAACCCCTACGGGAAATAAATTAAGCCAGTTCCAGTCAACAGTTTCTGTTAGGCAAAAAAATAATTAGCCCCAAGCCCCATCTTCTGTAAAGGCAAAACTTGAAGGAGATGCCAAGTGCTGGAATAATACTCTGGGCACAGTCCAGAAGAAAGATGGAATTCTTACGGTGCAGGGCCCTGGGTGCCCAGGCCTATGACTGTAATAGGAGGCAAGTACTTAAAGGTATTACCTCTTGCCACCATCTTGAGCAGGAACACAGCAAAGCAGGTGCCAGAGAAGAAAACAGCAATGAAAGGATTTCGACTGTGGAAGCTGGCATTGGCATTTATCGTTGGCAGGGCTGTGTGCCTGCTGTGAGTAGGAGGGGATATTGCCATCCTCCCTGGTCTTGCTGCTGCTTTCCTTGCTCCTCCCCAGCAGGGGAGATCACGAAGGAGATAATCAATACCAGGCAGCCCCTGGCAGGCGGCCTCCAGGCAGGGTTCACCCGTGCTGCCCTAATGACAGCAGGCATCTGCTCCGGCTGGATTGCCCCAGGCCTGGTGGCCATGTCATCCTGCCCTGCCACTGCCGTGACTTCTCACGGATAGCACTGGAGAAATGTTTACTTTTCCTTGGGCTCGAGAGAAAAGGCGTTCCACTGTCCTTCATCTTTCCTTGGATGCCTTTACTGACACAAAGCAGAAAGGTTTTGGAAAGTGAAAAGATGAATGGCTGTTGGTAGCTAAGTTACCCCAACAACAACCATCATCCTTCATTCTAAGACTTGCCAGCTGGGATGTCAGGGAGTTACTTTCGCTGCTCATGTGTAAGATGGGTTGCCTCTATGGAGAAGAGGTAGGTAAAGAATCCGGGCAACGATACACGTTTTGGAAACACATGGGGGCTTCAGCCCCATCCCTGCCAGGACTTACTGGGGACATGATAGCTAGTGGATCTCCTGGACCCCAGTTCTTTCTTTTTATAAACCAGGGCCCAAATCCTGCCAATTCTGTCATGATATTACTGATCACACATGCATGGGCCTGCGGACCAGCCCCCTCGGTGGCACCTTCATGTTGTTGCCATGATCATTGCCTACTGATCTGAATTATATTCATTTTTCGGTGAAAATTAAGTGAGATGAGAAAGTATCTGGAATAAGTTGCTAAGTTAGAGTTAGCTCAGTTTTCTACCTTTCACATACAGCAGTGTCGTGTATTATGTTCCAGCTTTGATGCTCCTGATACCCTGTCCGCAAACTCTTCAAAGCAAGGGCGCATCTACTTAAATAACACATCTCAGAACAGAGTTGCACATGAACCATTTTACATGGCCCTTTTCAATTGCAAGCGAAGGAACCAAAATCAAGTTTTCTATAAGGGTGTGTACATGTGTGTGTAAATATATAACTATATGCAGGAATTGTACATAAAATTTCGTGTAAGTGCAGGTAGAATGTATATGCGTGTAATGTACATGGTATAAACATAAACACAGAGTTGGAGCACAAAAATGGTGGAAAATCTTGGAAACTGGAAACACATGACTTAGAATCTGGCTTTTGTCACTGACCCAAGCCCATCTCCTTCCCATATGTGCTGAGTTTTCTGGAGGAACAGAATCATAGCGTGTGTGTGTGTGTGTGTGTGTGTGTGTGTGTGTGTATGTGTGTGTGTGTGTGTATTTGTAGAATTCATCAAACCAGATTACTTCAAAATAGTAGTAGCAATAACACAAGAGAGGTTGAGAACCTTTGTGGCTGCTGTCTCGGCTGTTGCAGAAGCTCCACCATGGCTTCTTAGACGGGAGAGGCCGACAACCCTGTCGTTGCCCACACCACAAGACCAGGTGCCTCAGTGGTCCCAATCTAGAGCTGAAGACTGTGCAGGGTTCTGGGAGGGCTGCTGGCCCTCAGTCAGTGTTGGAAGCCTGGAAACAGTTGTTCCTAAAATCAGCAAAGGAACCATCAGCAGAAGAAGCAGCAGAAACCAACTCTGGCTTCCTGGATCGCAAGCCACAGAGAAAGCCCTGCTGTGCTGTGTATCTTGTCTCTCTGCTTATATCAGATCCATCAACCAAGACAAGAGTTGGTTTTTTCCTCTTTCAAAATCTTCCTGAAGGCTAGAGGTGAGAGTTTACTGATTTACTTATACAATCAAAACTTGATAAAAATGTTGTGAAAAATCTCTCTCCAGTCTCCCCCTCCCCCACCACCCATCCTTCCTCACTGGCCCACCCCCACCACCCTTGTGGCCACCAGAGGAAACCATGACCAACACTTAATGGGAGGGCCTTGGAACCAGCAGATCCCAGTCCTGATATACAGCTCTGCCCTTCTGACTGGTGGATCCAGAGCCATACAGTGATTAAATGTACGGGGAGTCGTCACTGCTGCTGGAAGCCACATGAAATAGCTGATGCCCTTTAATAATCTGACATTTTCTGATAAGCCCTTGAAGTTCTTCATGGGGTGTATTAGCCAAACCCCGACAAACAGGTGGAGTTTAACTAATCTTCCTGGAGTTTGCGAGATAGACCTGAGGCAAAATAGAAAAGTGTCCATGCTTCCCCATCACGAGCCAGACAGAGCTGTGTTCAAAGTGATATCATATCGGCTTTCGATTTTTGTATTAATGAACTTTTATTTTAACCAACTCTGGCTAAGTTTGACTATATAAACAGCATTTTTTTGGGGAAGCATTCCAATAGTTCTCAGACAATGAGAGAAAGAGAAGATGATGTAGGTTCTTAATAAATATGCAGAATAATTTTATTCAAAAGCAGGCTGCATTGTAAGTAGTCAATTTGAATGATGCTGCTTCCTACTCCAACCACTGTGGCTTGGACTTTTTTTTTGTCTCGTCTGACTTTGAATTTCATTCAGAACTAACTTACACTGCTTTCTTTCAACTACCGAAATTATGCTGAATTTTGGCCCTTTGAAGAGGATTTGATTTTCTTAGAAAATCATACCTAGTGAATCACATGACTTCATCAAGTTGAGAAAAACATTCTTCAGTAATGATTTCTTTGTTAAAGTTTCTTTTGTGGCAGAGACAAGAATACCGGAGCAGAAGCAACCTACTATTTGCTAATAACCCGCGGAGTTTAGTTAGTGCTGCCCACATGCACAGGATGTGGGCCACCTACGAGGACCTTCAGCAAAAGATTCTCTCATTTACTTGATTCACCCTTGAATTGAGAGGTTCCTCTTGTCTTTGCCTGCTGAATTGCTGGGGGGGGGGGGGGGGAGTATAATTGGTGAGGAATTAATAGAAAATCTTTAGCCTGCAGTGACTAACCCTCCAAAAGATGGAATAAAGTTTGGAGTTAATTTGGGAGTTCATAGAAATGGGCGCATGGGTGCTAGAAAAGACAGTAATCAAGGAAAATTGCCACAGATTTAAATTCTATCAAAAGAAATTTATCTACTATCTATCATCTATCTATCTATCTATCTATCTATCTATCTATCTATGTATCAATTTATCAATAATCTATATTTTCTCTATCTATCTATCTATCTATCTATCTATCTATCTATCTATCATCTCTTCATCTATTTATTTATCTTTAATGCCTTCAGCTCTCACTTCTCCCACACCCACTTCCTGAGTGCTAGGATCATAAGTGGGCCCTACTTCACTGGACTAAAAGAGACCAACTTAACCATAGGTTAAGGAAGTTATAAAGAAAGCCAGTGCATCCCAGGAGTGTGATGTTTGGAGAATTTGGTAAGGGCAGACAGAACTTTGAAATAACATTAAACCTGTGTTCTAGTCTTGGCTTTTCCATGAGTCCCTACTCAAGTTACCTGATGTTCCTAGAGCCAGATAGCCAAACCACAAAGTGGAGATGATCACACCTCTCTTGTGGGTATCAATGACCTTTTTCCTTCTGTTAGGCCTTAGGAAAATGCTTAATGAATAATAATAGGTAGTAATACTGTCTTCAGAAATGAGTGCATATGTTAATTGGCTTTGTAGTCCATGATCTAGCAAGACACAAGAGTTTACGAAATGCTGGGCTTCATACACGCAAAGCAGTTAGATGACCTGCACAGGAAAGAAACCATAGGCCAACAAATGCAGGAAGACTAAAATGCTACACAGTCTTGGGCAATAAAAACATGTCTTAAGTGTGACAAGTGGAGCGACAAGGAAAGAAATTGCTTCCTGTGTAAGTGCTTCTGCAGTCTCTGACTTCCATGCTCTCTAGAATCGCACAGCTTCTACCGCTGACTTCCCTGATGGCTCTGCCTACCCCCGCCCCCCATTGCCAGGCCTTACTTAGTGTGTGTGCTGAAGTCTTCCAGGTAGGCAGGTCTGACTCACAGGATCCAGCAGGGCCCCTGTTGCCTACAGCTTGTTCAAGCTAACAACAAGAAGTCAAAAGACCAATAGTGTTAATCGTTTCCTGCTGGGGCCTTCTGACTCTTAATGAAGACTTCAGCAGTTGTGTATTATTCTTAACTTTGCTATGGCAACTCATTTTCAGTGTCAAACTATTCTCCTTAGAGTCCCCAGTTTGCGCATATGTTGCATTAGTTACTCTCCTCTGTAGCCCAATATTTGACAAGAATTAACTTAAAGGGGGAAGCACTTATTTTGGCTTACAGTTTGAGAGGATACAGTCCATCATAGCCAGGAAGGAGTGGCACCAGGAGCATGAGGTAGCTAGACATGCTTCAGAAAGGAGAGAGTAGAGAGGAACTAGGGGCTGATTATAATGCCTCACGGTCTGGCCCAAGGGACTCTCTAGAAAGGTTCTACCTCTGAAAATTTTCTTAACTTTCTCCACCAAATTTCCAAACACTTGTGGCTGTGCGGGACATATCACAGTCAAACCACAGGACACACAGTTTATTTAGCTGATACTTTTAGACAGAAACAATCCTGAGATCTACCCATAGACCCTCTGGCAGCATCTTTCTTTCCCATACCGCTAGACACTGAGCACTGTAGCTCCCCTCTTCCAACAGATCCCAGAAACAACACTCATGGGAACTATGAGTCCAAATCCTCAGGTCTGCCCAGAAGTGCTCTG